TCTCCTTCTTCCTTTTCCCCCTTCTGCCTCTTGCTCCTCCTCCTCCTCTTCTTCTCTTCTCCATATCTTCTTCTCCTCTTCTTTCCCTTTCTCCTCCTCCTTCCTCTTCCTCCTGTTCTCCTCTTCCTTGTCCTCTTTGCCACTTATTCCTCCTCTTCTTCCTCCTCCTCCTCCTCTTCTTCTCTTTCTCCTTCTTCTTTTCCCCTTCTTCTGCCTCTTGCTCCTCCTCCTCCTCTTTCTTCTCTTCTCCATATCTTCTTCTTCCTCTTCTTTCCCTTCTCCTCCTCCTTCCTCTTCCTCCTGTTCTTCCTCTTCCTTGTCCTCTTTGCCACTTATTCCTCCTCTTCTTCTCCTCCTCCTCTTCTTCTCTTTCTCCTTCTTCCTTTTCCCCTTCTTCTGCCTCTTGCTCCTCCTCCTCCTCTTTCTTCTCTTCTCCATATCTTCTTCTTCCTCTTCTTTCCCTTTCTCCTCCTCCTTCCTCTTCCTCCTGTTCTTCCTCTTCCTTATCCTCTTTGCCACCTATTTCTCCTCCTCCTCCTCCTCCTCCTCCTCCTCCTCCTCCTCCTCTTCTTCTTCTTCTTCTTCTTCTTCTTCTTCTTCTTCTTCTTCTTCTTCTTCTTCTCCTCCTCCTCCTCCTCCTCCTCCTCCTCCTCCTCCTCCTCCAATGAAACATCTGCAAGAAAACAACCAAACTCAGAGAGCACCAAGGACTCCATGGCCCTCCTCCTCCTCCTCCTCCAGTCCACACACCCCACTCCCTTCTAATACTGAAGATGTCACCTAGATGGGTAATGAAACATTTGCAAGAAAGCAACAAGCTCAGAAAGCACCGAGGGCCCCCCGTTTCAACCCCCCCGAGCTACAAATATTCTCCTTCAGTGTTTTGAAAGACATTTGAACCTCGTTCTGTGGAAAACTTGGGAAGAAACATACTTTAATTTCTATCTGTGCCGGACCAGAGTTGGGCAGCCCATCCTGAGTTTCCTTACGGCTAAACAAGTCTGTCACCAAGGAAATAGCGAAGACCACATGCAGGTTTTTTACGAAAGGGAGGTAACTAATGATAATAATTTGTCATTTCTATCCTGTTCATCTGCTGAGGTTTTTTTTTTATTTTTTTTAGATAAGCTTAGATTTAAAACCCAAAAAACAGCAGTAATTGCAAAAATGCAATCTAAACAAGCCGGGAATAACAATCTAAAATAGATGAGGCAGATTAGCAGAGGTGCTCTTGAAACTTCTGAAAGTTACTTCTGGGCCAGTATCTCATACATCTTGCCTAATCCTATTTTTCTTCCCTCCTGCAGCTTTGAGGTGTCGCTTTGCTCTAAAAAAAGAATTTGCATCCTTTTAGAAAGTCGTTGAGGCCACTTGGGGGTTTATCTGTGTCCTCAGGGTCACCTGAGTGGTGCAAATTTATTTATTTTATTTTATTTATTTATTTATTTTTTGCTTTAATTTATATGCCGCCCTTCTCCGCAGACTCAGGGCGGCTTACAATGCGTTAAGCAATAGCCTTCATACTTTTGTATATTTATACAAAGTCAGTTTATTGCCCCCACAATCTGGGTCCTCATTTCACCTACCTTTGAAAGGATGGAAGGCTGAGTCAACCTTGAGCCTGGTGAGATTTGAACTTGCAATAATTGCAAGCAGCAGATGTTAATAACAGTGCTTTAGTCCACTGTACTACAGGCTCTTATTTATTTATTTATTAATCAAATTTCTATACCGCCCTACTCCCGGAGGACTCAGGGCGGTGAACAGCCAAGATAAAATACAAATAATACAAATATTAAAAGTCCCTTAAAATTATTAAATATTTTGGCCGAAGCACAGATTAAAACACCCGATTTATAAAATCAAACGAATTAAAAAAATTTAAAAGAGGAGAGTTAGGCCAGGCCAGCCTGCTGAAATAAAAAAAGTTTTGAGAGCACGACGAAACGTGCGCAGATCCGGGATCCTCCGTATCTCTGGGGGGAGCCTTCTTGGAACTGTCGAAAGGACCGTGTTGTAGGCTGGAGATACATGATGTCGTGTCTCTCCCGTGTTGAGAGAGGGCTGTTCAATTTTGACATACATGGCCTCTTGGACCCCTCTTTCAAACCAGGGGTGCTCTCTGCCCAAAATGTGGATTATGCTTTCTTCAAAAAAAAAAAAGTGGCTTTTGTCTACGGACCGTTGGTGGCGCAGTGGTTAGAGTGCAGTACTGCAGGCTCCTTCTGCTGACTGCCGGCTGCCAGCAGTTCGACAGTTTGAGTCTCACCGGCTCAAGGTTGACTCGGCCTTCCATCCTTCCGAGGTGGGTAAAACAAGGGCCCGGATTGTTGTGCCGACACTGTAAACCGCTTAGAGAGGGACGTCAAAGCACTGTGAAGCGGTATAGAAGTGCTATTGCTATTAAATGCAGATGGATGCGACACAGTCCCTTCAACAGCTCCACACCCATTTGCATCACTCGGGTGGCCCTGAGGGCACAGATAAGCCTCCAAGTGGCCTCAACGACCCTATAAGAAGAACGCAAACGACCAGCCGTCTGCAAGGAGTATCAATCCTTCCCTTCCCCACCATCCAGTCAGAGCTGAAGAAGCTTCTCGGATGAGAAGCGAAACGTCTTTAGAGAAAAAACCCCCAGAAAGTCCAGTTATGCCTCTAGAAAAAAAAAAACATCTTTGGGGACAACCACGAATCTCCATAGATATTCAAGCAACCTAGCCTTATTCCCACATGCAAGAGAGAGAGAAGTTTAGGAAGGCTGATTTTTTTTTTTCCCCCGCCGTGTCTGGAAAACGAGAAGGAGAAGGCGGCTGTGGGGAGTGATGGAAACTACTCTGGCGTGGAATAGGATCCAAAGCAATAATCCACAGGGCTGTTGTAACACTCGCCTTGTTTTGACAGCGAGCATCTCCGCGCTGGCTGGCTGCGTTGCCAGGATTATCATCCAAATTGTCCGTCTTTGGCAACGCCCTTAATTAGGAGGGTTTTTGATCCCATCCAAGATACGCAAAGGGGGTCAATCCAAACAAACGGGCCCTGCCTAACAGCCAAAGAAGCTTTTAATTGCTCCAGATTGAATCTGCCCCTATTCCCCGAAGTCTCCTGAACCTCCCAACTGAGCCACGTCAAAATTTGCAGAGTGGAATTTAAGCAGAGCCTCCCAGCACCCTCAAACCTGCGCTCCGCAGAATTAGTAGTAAATTTTTCGGATCCCTCTCTCTCTCACACACACACGCACACACACACAGAATCCTACCGACCTGAATTCTTTTTTTTTTTTTTGAATTTTTTTTTTTATTTAAGGCACAACAAAATCTAAAACCGCCATCATTCAATACAATCGCAGAAAGTGTGTCGAGCGGTTAAAATTCTTTTGTGCAAAAATCCCGTATCCAAGATTACCAATTATTTAATTTCTCTCATGTAACCATTTTATATATCCCTTTCTATTATTATTCTCATTGAACAATTATTTAACAAAGGCTTAACCCCCCCCCCATAAGAAAAAACTTCATATATTTCTCATTACATTAATTTCATGTTTCATCTCCACGCTTTGTCATCTAGGCCATTGATAAAAGAAATCCCATATCAAATAATATTGATTTATCTTCCTAATTTCAAATCTATCTACCTGAATTTGAGGTTGGAGAAATGGGATGGGATGGGATCGACCGGATAAATAAAACGTGGACAAGCCAAGCTTCTTCAAACGAGGGAAGCTCACTTTGTTGCTTCAGAAGGTCTTCGAAACCACAACTTCAGAAGCTGTTGGGGGGGGGGGAAGGCTCCACCACTGGAGGTTTTTAAGAAGAGAATGGACAGGAGAGATTTGTCCGAAAGGGTAGAGCAGGGGGTTAGACTAGGAGACCTCCAAGATCCCTTCCAACTCTCTCCTTCTCTACTTTTCTGGAATTCAGTTTAGAACTGATCCTCATTTAGCCTACAATGGCCAGCAGGATTCCTTTCTGAAGCCCCCCCAAGTTGAAGGGGCTAGATAGATTGCCGTGGGGACAGTTTCACTAGGGGGTAAAGAGTCATGGCTGGCTGGCTTATTTAGAATTTGTTTATTGATTTGACCAGAAGAGAATGGATAGCCATTTGTCCAGAATGGTAGAGGGTCTCCTGGTTAAGCAGGGGGTTGGACTAGAAGACCTCTAAGGTCCCTTCCAACCCTATTATTCCTTATTCTATCCTATCCTCCTATTTCTTATTCTATTCCATTCCCTGTTCTATTCCTATTCCTATTCCTTATTCTATTCTGTTTATATTCTATTCTATTCTTTTCCTTATTCTATTTATTTCAATTCTGTTCTATTCCATTTTCTATTTTATTCAATGTTCTATTCCTTATTCTGTTCTATTCTTTTCTATTTTCTATTCTTATTCTATACCTTATTCTGTTCTATTCCTTATTCTATTCTAATCTATTCTATTCTTTTCCTTATTCTATTCTATTTCAATTCTATTCTATTCCATTTTCTATTCTATTCTATTTTCTATTCCTTATTCTATTCTATTCTTTTCTATTTTCTATTCTTATTCTATTTCTATTTCTATTCTATTCCATTCCTTTTTCTATTCTATTCTATTTTCTATTCCTTATTCTATTCTTTTCTATTTTCTATTCTTATTCTATACCTTATTCTATTCTATTCTATTCTATTCTATTCTATTCTATTCTATTCTATTCTATTCTATTCTATTCTATTCTATTCTTTTCCTTATTCTATTCTATTTCAATTCTATTCTATTCCATTTTCTATTCTATTCTATTTTCTATTCCTTATTCTATTCTGTTCTGTATTTTCTCTCCCACTCTACTGTATTCTGCATTCTGTTTGTTAACTTAAAAAAAAAAAATCAAATCAAATCCATCCAGTGTCCTCCAGATTCTGCCTGCCCTTAGGCTGCCCCCTGGCGGCAGCGTGGGCCGAGCCCGTGCGCGAACCAGTTTGTGCCACTCAACCTCTCCTCTCCTCTCTCTTGTGCCTTTGCAGAAACGCCGCGCATGGATTCTCCCTGATCCAGGTGGAGAGCCTGAAGGTTACCATGAAGGACATTTTGCAAAAGGCTCTGAAGCGAAGGAAAGGGTCGCAGCGAGGCTCAGGTGGGGACCAGACCTCTTGCTACAATTTTTTATTATTATTATTATCATTATTATTTTCGAGGGAGGACCCCTGATCTCTTCCAAACTTTGTGGTTTGGGGGTTTTGTGTGTGTATGTGTGACAATGCACAAAGTGACTTCTCTTAGCAATTCCGTGACGGCAAGTCCTTGGACAACAAAGCAGGCATTCAACGTGTTTTCATTGCTTTTATTTATTAAATTTTTTACTGGCTGCCCGTCTCACCTCAACGCAACTTCATAGGCCTGGTTTTTTTTTTTTAGGGTTATTTTTTTTTCTCTCTCTCCCTGGTTTCGCTTTTGGGTGACTTATGGCTTTGTGCAATCTTCCTCGAAAGACGGCAGGCTCGCCTTCTCCGTATAAAACGGGGCAGTTTTATATTTTGCAGTTTTCTTATTCTTTCTTTAAAAGGTAGCCTGGGAATTATTGCCAAAAATAAATAAATAAATAAAGCAGGAAAGAGAAATGGATTCGGACCGTAAACCTTGGAGCTCCGTCCCGTGATCCATTTGTCTTCCTCTTTTATTTATTTATTTTTTTTTTTTTTAAATTACAGGCCGCCCTTGATGTACAACGGCCATTTCGTGACCGATCAAACTTACAACGGCACTGAAAATGTTTTAACTTATGACCATTTTTCACAGTTATGACCTTTTCAGCGTCCCCGTGGTCAGGTGATCGAAATCCAAATGCTTGGCAGCATTAAGTCACTAAATGAACTATCTGTATACCTGCAAAGCATTCAATTACATGAAAAGTGGTCAAAGAAAGAGTGCAGAGAAGAGCAAGAAAGAGGATCAGGGGACTGGAGGGTAAAACATACGAAGAACGGTTGCAGGAACTGGTATGTCCAGTTTAATGAAAAGAAGGACTAGGCGAGACATGAAGCGTCTTCCAATATCTCAGGGGCTGCCCCAAAGAAGAGGGAGTCAAGCTATTCTCCAAAGCACCTGAGGGCAGGACAAGAAGCAGGACAAGATGGAAACTCATCAAGGAGAGAAGCAACCTAGAACTAAGGAGAAATTTCCTGACAGTTAGAACAGTTAATCAGTGGAACAACTTGCCACCAGAAGTTGTGAAGGCTCCAACACTGGAAGTTTTTAAGAAGATGTTGGATAACCATTTGCCTGAAGTGGTGTAGGGTTTCCTGCCTAAGCAGGGGGTTGACTAGAAGACCTCCAAGGTCCCTTCCAACTCTGTTCTTCTTTCTATTCTATTCTATTCTATTCTATTCTATTCTATTCTACTCTACTCTACTCTACTCTACTCTACTCTACTCTACATTCTTTTCTATTCGATTCTATTCTACTCTACCCTACTCTACTCTACTCTACATTCTATTCTACTCTACTCTACTCTACTCTACATTCTATTCTACTCTACTCTACTCTACTCTACATTCTATTCTACTCTACTCTACTCTACTCTACTCTACTCTACATTCTATTCTATTCTACTCTACTCTACTCTACTCTACTCTACATTCTATTCTATTCTACTCTACTCTACTCTACTCTACTCTACATTCTATCTATTCTACTCTACTCTACTCTACTCTACATTCTATTCTATTCTATTCTACTCTACTCTACTCTACTCTACATTCTATTCTACTCTACTCTACTCTACTCTACTCTACTCTACTCTACTCTACTCTACATTCTATTCTATTCTACTCTACTCTACTCTACTCTACATTCTATTCTATTCTATTCTATTCTATTCTAATAACATGGGGGAGTAGAGAGGAATTCTGGGTGTTGTAGCCATTTTTTGGAGGCCTCCTCCCCATCACCCCCATCCCTTATATAAAGAAAACCAATGTCAAAAATCTACCTTCCTTTAATTCCAATTTAGGCTAGAAAACACACACAAAAAAGGCAGCTTTCTCTTGTTTTGAAACATTCCACCAGACTCTTCCCAGCTGGCTTCGTTCCTTTGGAATAAACATGGAAACAGCTTGAATGTTTTCCCCCAAAAAAATCTCTTTTGACACCTAGGTATTTTGCAGCAAGCCTCCCCTTTTCAGGGTTGAATCGGCCAAACCTTCCAACTTGAAAGCAAGGATGCTTCAAAAAAAAAAAAAAGGGCCATATTTTGTCCGAGGTCAAAAAGCAACAGAAGATTTTGCTCCAACTTGGGAGACGGTTCTGTCTGGATTTTTCTTTTTTTTTTTGCTTTGGGCTCGGAGCCCTCAAATCTGGCGATCTGAGATTTGAACTGTTTTCGTTTTTCTGTTTTTGCAAACGTGTTTTGCAATTTTTCAGTATTTCAGTCTTTGCACTCGGAACCGGATATTTGAGATTCAATTTTATTTATTTTTTTTTAAAGTCAATGTACGCCGTACGATTTTTAGTATTTAATCTTTGCGCTCCGGACGGAGGGGAAATTTGAGACTGAGCCTTTTTTGCAAACCGCATTGCAATTTTAGTATTTCAATCTTTATTAAGGCCTTCTCCCTTACTTTTTAGAAACCCAAAAGCTATTTTTTTTTTAATGGAAACTCAAATTTGATCTGACAAATCGCGGGCATGCCGTTTTATACTTTTTTTTTTTTTTTTAATTTGATTTATATGCCGCCCTTCTCCGGAGACTCAGGGCGGCTTACAATGTGCTCAGCAATAGCCTTCATCCTTTTGTATATTTATACAAAGTCAGTTTATTGCCCCCACAAACTGGGTCCTCATTTCACCTACCTTAGAAAGGATGGAAGGCTGAGTCAACCCTGAGCCTTGGCGAGATTCGAACCTGCAGTAATTGCAGGCAGCTGGTCTTAATAACCAGCTTAATAACAGGGTGCCTTAGACCACTGTACTACCAAGGCTCTTGAGTCACGTGATTCAAAAACAGCCCAAATTTTTGCGAGGGTCAGGATTCCCAAATAACAAGGAATTAACTTCTCTGTGATATCCATACACTTAGGCTGGTCAAAGCGAGGGCATTCCAGAATACAGATAATCCTTGACTTACAACAATTCATTTAGCGACCGTTCGAAGTTACAAAGGCACTGAAAAAAAGGGACTTACAACCGTTTTTCACACGACCGTTGAAGCATCCCCGTGATCAAAATTCAGACGTTTGGCCACTGACTCATATTTATGACGGTTGCAGTGTCGCAGGGTCACAGGATTCCCTTCTTGCACCTTCTGACATGCAAAGTCGATGGGGAAGCTGGATTCGCTTAAGAACCGTGTTCCCTTAACAAGCAGGAGCAGGAATCGGTCCCGGCAAAAACCTCTTTTATTTAACACGACTGTGAATTACGTTCATTCACAGTCAGCAAGGCTTGTCCAAACAGTTTTTCAAAGGAATATTTATCAACACAGACCTTATCTTGCTTGGCAAGCTGCCACGTAACTTGTTTCCAACCGCAGTACAAGGCCAAACTTGGCTACAGAGTCTCTTAGAGTCACGGTCAGAACTTTCCATTCTTGAAACCACCGAACGAATGAATTGTTTCCTATGGGAGGGGCCAATCATCTCCAAGGTGTGGCTTTACTCCTGAGTCGACCCTGCTTTCTGAGTTGTTCTTGTCTTCTGGCAGCTCTGCGTATGCGCACACTGGGAACGGGCTCCAGCTGTTCCTCTGCCTCCCTATCCCCCTCTCTGCCTCCGACGCAGAGCCCTCGTCCGAGCTCTCCCCAGCCCCCAGGACTGGCCCACTTTCCTCCCCAACTTCCTCACTGCTGCCAGCTCCGCTGGCGGGCCACAACAATTCCTAACTGAACCACGGCCAGCGGTTCACCGAGCAGCCGTGGCAAGAAAGGTGGTAAAACGTTGCAAAATTCACTTTTAAGAATTTCAGCGGGAACGGTGGTCGTAGGGTCGAGGACGACGCTTCTTTCCACCATCTCGTTTTTAGCCTTTTCAAAACTTTTTCTCCCTGCGTCCTTGCAGTCACATCTGGCCAGGTGTTTCACGTTTTGGGAAAAGGAGAAATAAATTTTAAAAAAAAAGCAAAATAAGAACCCAAACCTTTTCGATCTTCTTGCTTTTTTTTTTTTTTTTTTAATTGTCAAGAAAGTCCTTTGGCTTCAAGAGGCCTGTGCAGGTACGACAGCCGTAAAGCCCCCTCCCGAGCCCAGAAAAAAAAAAAATCTATCTTGACATCGAGAAATAATTACGGTGAGAAATGGCACGGGGCTGTGTCACCCCACCACAAAGAACGTTAATATAAACCTATCTTATAGACTCAGTAGAGATAAAAGCATCTTGTCTTGGTTAAATGAATGAAACCTTGCCTTTTCTCCCTCCCCTCTCTCTTCTCCCCCCTCCCTTCTCCCCACTCTGGACCGGTCCGTTTACTTTTAACTCCACCGAAAGAAAGGAAACATAATTTCCCACCCCCAGGTTTCTGTTTAGGAAAGAAAGAAGGAAGGAAGGAAGGAAGGAAGGAAGGAAGGAAGGAAGGAAGGAAGGAAGGAGAGAGAGAGAGAAAGAAAGAAGGAAGAAGGAAGGAAGGAAGGAAGGAAGGAAGGAAGGAAGGAAAGGAAAGGAAGACAGAAAGAAAGGAAGAAAGGAAGAAGAAGAAGGAAGGAAGGAAAAAGAAAGAAAGAAAGAAAGAAAGAAAGAAAAGAAAGAAAAGGTCTCAGCCCACCCACCCCTTCCTGCTCCTCTCTCCCCAAACAAGCCTATAATCTGTCACCGATTTAATTAGCTATCTCCAGATGAAAGCTGAAGTTTTAATAAAAGTTAGAAGAGATAACACCGCAAAAGGACACGGATGAGCTGTCTCAAGGCCGTATTCCGGGGGAAAAAAACGATAAGAGCCGTAAAAAATGGCAGCGGAGAGCAATTGAAGGAAGCAATGAAAATCGGATTCCTTTCTCTTTTTTTTTTTAAAGGGTGGGGGGGAAGGGGGGAGGGGAAAAAGAAGACAGGATTGGGGGGGGTTGAGGTGGGGGGAGGCAGAGATGAAAGCCTGCCGGGGTCTCGAAGGCGTTTTTTGGCTGCCGGCCAAGCGTCATCGTTCACCCTGGGC